AAAAAAAGAAATTTAAATCGCTCATTTTCGTGAGCGACGATAGAGATCGATATACGAGAAGCGTTGGTAGGTCTATTGTTAAAACCACTTCTAAAAGTCTCTAGTTAACTTCGCTGAATTAGCGGTTGCATGGTTTTACAATCTTGCCTGATTATTTGACACATTCGTCGATTCATGAATATTAATACGTTTCTGATGCGATGGTCGTGTGCTATTCGACTCTGATCTTCTTTAATAACGATGCTAATATTTTTTAACATATTGTGAGGCCTTGTGTAAACGACATCAATAAAATTAGGTCAGTTTGCTTAAACGTTTTCGACCTCGTTGGATTTAGTGGCCCTGAAAAGGGCCGTTGTTTTTTGATAGGGCAAGTTGTTGTTTAGCCGCCGAAACCGTAAAGGGTACGTCCCTGCCTCTTGAGGGCGTAGACGACGTCCATGGCGGTGACAGTCTTCCTTTTGGCGTGCTCGGTGTAGGTGACAGCGTCACGGATGACGTTTTCAAGGAATACTTTAAGGACACCCCGAGTCTCTTCGTAGATCAGACCAGAGATGCGCTTGACACCACCACGGCGAGCGAGGCGGCGAATGGCTGGCTTGGTGATACCTTGAATGTTATCACGAAGAACTTTACGGTGACGTTTGGCACCTCCCTTTCCGAGTCCTTTACCTCCCTTGCCACGTCCAGACATTACGGCTGGATTCGTTCTCAATAAGCTGACAAAAAAGAGTGTCGCTTCTACTTGCGGTGCTCTTATTTATAGCCAGCAAAAGCACTATATGTGCTGGCGCTGCAATCGCTAACTGTAGACCTTCAATGGCGCCAATCATGAGCATCAATAGCTTATCTTCCTCTTCTAAGGGCTCCAAGTGTCTGTTGTTTAAAAAAGCGCTAGAATCGAGGAGAGCATTTATTCGGTTCTAAAATTATCACCATTAGGTTTTTAGAATGTATTGGTGTATATGGATTCAACAGGTGGATTCCATTGGTCGGGAGATTTAGAGCAATGAGCTCATTTAATTGCATGCTTACTGTGGATCTATGTGCTACAAAAAAATATAGGTAGGCAGAGGAACATAAAACTGTGTTTTCGTGACAGTCTTAGCACTTTTTATCCTCTGTGTAACGATTAAAACTATATCAGTAGTAATAGATCGGAAAATGAAGGTTGCATGACGTATGTCTATTGAAACCTGTGTAAAGTTATCTTTTCATGTCAAATCATAAAAATGCATACACAGATCATATAAAAATTAATTAATGTTTGTTTTAAATTACATTTTCTATCGGACCTTCAAGTTAATTGCCATAGTCAACATAAACTCTCAGGTGAATATGATCGGATGCTTCTTTCAGCGGCGTCCCGCTAGAGGGCGTTGCCCATTTATCGAACTCCCCTTTCCTAAACGCTATATAAGTCCAAAATCAGGCTCTGTCTTCAACATTTGTTGTTAACAGACAGTCAAAAATGGCGCGTACTAAGCAGACCGCCCGTAAGTCCACTGGCGGAAAGGCTCCCCGTAAGCAGTTGGCCACCAAGGCCGCCCGTAAATCTGCTCCAGCTACAGGCGGTGTAAAAAAACCCCATCGTTACAGGCCTGGTACCGTCGCTCTCCGTGAGATCCGTCGTTACCAGAAATCGACTGAGCTTCTCATTCGCAAGCTGCCCTTCCAACGTCTTGTGCGCGAGATTGCTCAGGATTTCAAAACCGATCTGCGTTTCCAGAGCTCGGCGGTCATGGCTCTCCAGGAGGCGTCCGAGGCTTATCTGGTCGGTCTCTTTGAAGACACCAATCTATGCGCCATCCATGCCAAACGTGTCACCATTATGCCTAAGGACATCCAACTGGCTCGTCGTATCCGCGGAGAGCGCGCTTAAGTTACTGGAATCTTTACTTCAGTAAGAAAAAAACGGCCCTTTTCAGGGCCACCAACATCTAGAAGATCATGCGCTTTACTGTGCATTCTCAAATAATTAAATATACTTTTGCAGACCATTTACATATTAAGTAACTGGTAGTTTATAGATGAGTGATGGATATGTCTGCTCAATGTATTGCGGGCAAATTTCCAGTCAACCGCAAAGCATCATCAATTGTCGAAAACTGCTTAATATGAATAAAATAGTATTTTGGAAAAAATGTGAAAGAAGAGCCAGAGGAACTTGTAGAAAAATCCAGGAGAGCAAACTTAGTCACATGTAATACACCACCTCATGGGTTTACACCCCAGTGCGCACCGTTATGGGTACACAAGAGTTATACCTATGCGCACCAAACTTGCCTATGTTCTCGAGACACGGCACCTTTTAAGTACGTCGTAAATAACACAGTAAGTAAATAAATTATTATTTGAAAATTTTGCTACCGTTTGTTGTAATCGCGATCGACGAGAGTGACAGATGTGGTGCATTTATGTCATAATTTCGCTGTTTCTTAGCTCAAGGGAAGGCTTAGTATTTTTAATTTACATAAGTCAACTGATATAACCTTCGATTGTATTCAAGTAAGTGGTAATGAAACAAGAACTGGCAACTATGTTAACGCTGATAATACGCCTCATAGATGAGTACGATAAGCTATAGGCCGAAACGCAAAATTATAGCAGCTACATGTAACGATTCTGCCTAGGTAATTGATCTTTCATAATTTGGTGGCCCTGAAAAGGGCCGTTTTTTGGTGATACCCGAAGGCATATATGTGTGGTGGAGAAACTACTTGGAGGAAGTGTACTTGGTGACAGCTTTGGTTCCCTCAGACACGGCGTGTTTGGCCAACTCACCAGGGAGCAGCAGACCATCACCTCTCGGGAGGTTCAGACCGCCGTCAGGC